GCGAGTGTTGATGGCTTTTCGAGAGCGTGAGCGACGTTGAGGTAACTACGTAGTTGTCTCTGTTGCCAGTCCTAGCTAGAATTTTGTCTGCTGTGAGGGCTACCTGTTTCAGTGGTGCGTCCTCGAGCAGAGCCGTAACCGTAGGTTGGATGAATGCTGGTAGAGATTCGAGCCACGGTTCTTTAACGATCTTAGAATCGGCTGCCGTGGGTCCTGCAAGAGATTGCAGGCGCTTGAGGTGGTGGCTCGGTTTAGTGCTAATAACGTCCTCAATCGTTCCTCCCTCTATGGGAGGAAATATCTGAGGATCGCCTCCTTGAGACGATCATAAACATTGGGCACATTGGGATTGAGGACTACCTCACGGACAGCTACTAAATGGTATCCCGGTAAACGTTCGAGAGCGTAGGCGTACTTCTGCCTTTGGCTTGTAATATGGAGGGCCTGGAATTGAGACTCTATTGCAGCAAACCAAACTTCGGGGTCGTGGGCAATAAAAGATACAGGTCGAAAGTGTATAACCTGTACGTCAGAGTCTATTACATTAATACTATTCTTATCGTTATCCGTCATGTCGAGTTATGGTCAGTATATTATATATTGCAAAATATTACTATGAAAATATGCGACAGACGTGGATAGATAAGCGAGAGACTCACCGAAATTGACTCCTTTGGAAGGTTTGGTTGCGATTGCCAAGTGGTCGTAGATGTAGTTTCACCAGTTGTGGAAGATTTGACCGAAGTTGAGACGTGTTCCCAGATTTGGCTCACCAATTGTAGCGTGGTGTCAAATCGCGCTTGATTATGAACACCGCTACAAGACTACGTGCCAGTAAACCAATACGATTCCCGTAGGCCAATATCAGAAGACAGATGATGGCTGTAGTCGAGATATATTTGCTGGCGATCTCGTGGTATCGAAAGAATACCGAGATCGTGCCAAAGGAGTACAAGTGGGATCGGCAGGAGAAAGTACGTGCGTAGAGTCACAAACCGCGCAGAAGTAATGGAGTCCAATGGAAGGCCAATATGGCTGTCATTAGAACAGTTAAACAAACGAGCACGGTAAAACAATCACTGGTACAATTGGTCATATTAATAATAATTGTTTTTATCGAACCAATCGCGTTCTGTTGACAAAAGTAGGTCACTACAAGAGCCCTCCGCTAGAAAAGGTTTACACTTTCCATAGGTAGCGGTTTGATTCGTGGGACTGATCGGCAAAAGTGCGGTTGTAGTACAAAAGAATTGGCGAAACAGGAAGCGATCGTTGATCCTCGAGTTGCCAACGGAAGTCTTTTGCGTAGTACGGTACCAGGAGAAGTGTGCTGTATTTGTTGCTCGCATTAGCATACCACACTAGAGTGGTTTGTATCTAGGATCTGAAAATTGTGTTTATAGGGATGCGGACCAGAAAACGCTGCAGACGTAGGACGAAACCACGTTGAGCCAAGAAACCGGAGGCGACCATAACGACCAAGCGTATGCCAGGCGGATTCGAAACCAAATCATCGACTGAGTGTGTTGACAAGAGTGTGGGTGATCAGGCTAGCTTTCGTCAAAGTTGACTGAAGTGGACGTTACCAAACGGGCGATGGTCGGAGGCGTGGGCTCGGGATACAAAAAAATTAAAAAAAAGTTGAGCGTGCGTGTAGTATAGGAATAGTCCTACACCGTATCCAATGTTGACTGTGCGGTTAGTCGCGAAAGCGTACGGGTAAGCGTACTCAGCGACCGGAACGTGAGACGGTAGTCTCGTTCGTACTTCGTGAGCCTGCAATCTTATCCAAGGTCAAGGGCGGCGTGGTCTGCCGATCTGGACGTGAGACGGAAGTCTCGTCTGTAGATGGTGCAGATGACGCGTGCTGTTGACCGGGACGTGAGAACGAGGACTCTGATGTATCTAGCGTGGGATACGAGGTAGACGTAGAGATCCCGCTAGAAGGTTTGATAGGTCTAGCATTGAGTCTCGAGTTATCGGGTAGGGCACTGTTATCGACGTGTGCTAGTTTGAGACGATCAATGCTGACGATCTTGACGCGGCCATGTCGATCAACCTTGAAGGCCTTTTCGTGACGAGAGATCACGATGTTGTATTCGAGTTGACAGCGGAGACAGCGTTCGCATAAGTGCAGACAGTCGATGGACGTAGTCTGATTTACCGAAATCATTACTGCTCCGTGGTGTGAAGAATTCCCCAGGCAGACGCAATGTCGTGCCGTATACAAGTTCAGCGGCGGAACATTGAATATCTGCCTTCAAACTCGTTCTGATGCCTAAGAGAACGAGCGGTAAGGTTTCGTACCAATTGTCGTTTTCGTGTGCTCGGAGAGCACTTTTAAGTTGGCGATGAAACCGTTCGACTAAACCATTCGATGCTGGATGGTAGGCGGTAGTGCGTATGCGTTCCGTACCAAGCAGCCGGGTCAGTGAGGAGAATAATGCGGACTTGTAATATGGAGGGCCTGGAATTGAGACTCTATTGCAGCAAACCAAACTTCGGGGTCGTGGGCAATAAAAGATACAGGTCGAAAGTGTATAACCTGTACGTCAGAGTCTATTACATTAATACTATTCTTATCGTTATCCGTCATGTCGAGTTATGGTCAGTATATTATATATTGCAAAATATTACTATGAAAATATGCGACAGACGTGGATAGATAAGCGAGAGACTCACCGAAATTGACTCCTTTGGAAGGTTTGGTTGCGATTGCCAAGTGGTCGTAGATGTAGTTTCACCAGTTGTGGAAGATTTGACCGAAGTTGAGACGTGTTCCCAGATTTGGCTCACCAATTGTAGCGTGGTGTCAAATCGCGCTTGATTATGAACACCGCTACAAGACTACGTGCCAGTAAACCAATACGATTCCCGTAGGCCAATATCAGAAGACAGATGATGGCTGTAGTCGAGATATATTTGCTGGCGATCTCGTGGTATCGAAAGAATACCGAGATCGTGCCAAAGGAGTACAAGTGGGATCGGCAGGAGAAAGTACGTGCGTAGAGTCACAAACCGCGCAGAAGTAATGGAGTCCAATGGAAGGCCAATATGGCTGTCATTAGAACAGTTAAACAAACGAGCACGGTAAAACAATCACTGGTACAATTGGTCATATTAATAATAATTGTTTTTATCGAACCAATCGCGTTCTGTTGACAAAAGTAGGTCACTACAAGACTATGGTTTGACTCCTTAATATTTTCCGAGGTTGTGGTCAGATTAACATGTGATACCATATGTTACCACGTCTGAGTTAGGCGGAAAGCTGATTTTTGAAAACCTGTAACAAACCTTGGCTTAAAAATCCATTGATTTAAAGCCATTAGAAAGGTATTCAGAAGAAAAAATCGATTGGACCCTATGCGGCTACACATAACACCTGTGACACAACAGGCAAAAGAGAAAACCCCAGGGATTTCAATAGTCCATGATAACTGATTGATACAGTAAAGGGTGGGAAAGAATGGCTTGAATGGTAATAAACCTCCAACCATGTTTTTTACTGCAGGAGTAAACAGAATACAGGAAGTCAACCTAAGACAACACCACAGCTGACTTTTCAGTGACATCTATTTTTGCCCATGCTTTCTCTGAAGCCCTTGTTAGTGTGAATCTTTTCTGCCTCGCCACTGTCTTCATTGGCTTCTCATGTTCTGTTTATTTCTGTAGTAATAAAAAGCATAAACTACTGTTTATCATCAATCTTGTCATTTTTCGCCACCCTTCACTTATTTAGTTAAGTACAATGGACTTAAAATCCCTGGGTTTTCCTTCCCTTCCTCAATTCACGTTAATAAGAGAGCTTATAAGTAAGGACAACCATCAAATTGTTGTCCATCAGAAAAGGCGAGCAACGAAAGGGGGAATGAAATTTTTAAGGTTTTAAAATTCCATCTGTTTACTGTCTGTTTCTTTGTCTTTACGGCCAATAGTACTTTAAACGTTCAATGAAGCGTCTACTTTCAACTTTTTGAACTTAGTAACTGATTATTATTCTTATTACCCCATTCATGCTATCTCATCCATCTATTTCGAAAAATGAAGTGGAGAGTCTAGTTGGTCTAGTCTAACTAGTGTAAAGTCAATGGAACCCGATTCATAGCGGAATCTTGTGTAACAATGAAAAGTCATTTACGTACCGACTGATTGCCAGAAATCTATATTCACTAACATTTCAGTAGATGTTCATAGCGTTTCTAAAATAAGTGTGCATCGACCTTATTGATTGATTATTTACTCATGTTTGACGAAGTGACCAAACGAGCTTATTGTACACATTCCGAAAATTTGTCAGCCACTGACTTATGAGGGCTTGTTATGACTAAAGGTTAATTAGTATCCGAGATTATTTACCAATCAGTATCCTGTAGTAATTTTTCTCGAACATCCGTGTAAAATTTCGACTATAGCTCAGCGTTCTAAACTATGACCAATGTTACGCATCTACTGGGACGATTAATATTAAATTGAAGTCGAGATAATCTTAACTCATGTTGCATCATAGGTATTTACCCCTACTTCTATCCTCAGTTTTGAGTCCGAATAGGAAAACGTAACAGGCAGGCTTCTATTACCAATATTTAGGTACCCAGTACATTTAAATCTAACACTCGCTAGCTTAAATACGTGAATAGCGAAAACTAAACTCACTCTAAAAAATAAATCGTCCAGTTTTCCGTTAAACTCGTCACTTCTTTATTTTTCCCGTAATTTGTAAATCTCACTAGGTACATAACTACAAAATGTTTGGAATAAAACATCGTAACATATTCATATTTGACAGTAACTTTTGAACAGACTAAGGTATAGCAACAACATGTGATTCTAAATAGATCTTACAAATGCTAACTCATGAAACTGTCACGGTACAACTGTTTAGTATATGTCCATTGGAAATGTAAAGAATAAATCATTAAGGTGTTACTACTAGAGATTTTTTCTCGTCTCTTCCTAACAGCTATCTTTGAACTATGAAAGTATTTCAGAAGCAGATAGAATACCGAAAGCTAACTTGAATTTATTCCAAATGTAACTTTGAATAGACCATTACCTGATGACATTTCGTTAAGTTGTAGTAAGAACAAACTTAAAACATAAAAGTATGAATGTTGTTTTAATAAGAAAACACTAACAAATCATAGACACAAAAGTCATCATTAGTACAATAATATTGCAATTCAAATTTTTAAAAAAAGATGTGATCGGAATTTGACTTGGTGTACGTGTTTAATGTTATGATTTTCAGAAAAAAAAAACAAAATTTGGATAGAGTAAGTGAGAGTAAGAAAAACACAAGGGTCATTTTTATGAATTTGTGTTGAAAACTTAATATTCTTATTGCCATCTTATTGCATGGTATAATTGCTTAATTAATCATTGTGATTTACACACAAAGATTTTCATTAAAATATTAAAGTACATAACAAAAGATAATTTTATTTGTCTGAATTAAACTATCATCGATGTTGTCTAATGGTGGCTGTAGTTTAAGGTTGAAGGAGAAGAAATGAAAGTGTAAAAAATGGAATCAAAACAATATTCAATAAAAAGTATTTCAATATAATAAATTTATCATGAACAGTAAATCAACAAAAAAAAAATCATTAAACCCTTTTAATATCAATCAATAAACTATCACAGAAAACTAATTTTTCGTTTTTTTTAAGTAAACAAATTCAAAACTATTTTTAAAAATATGTACTCATAGACGTATGGAATTATTTTGAATAATGTCTTTACATTTAATTTTAGAAATTGTTTTTGTTCTAAAATTATAGTTGACTATGTGTAAGATATGTAGCTGAACTACTATCCCCTGTTTTAGTATAATAACATGATTCAGGTGATGGATTCTGTCGTTCATAATCGTCACATTCCATACCACCAGTAACATCATCTTCGTCATCATCTTCATTAATCGTATCCGTGGTACGTACTGTAGATAATGCGCTATCGGATAACGAAGTTGACATTGTTGGCTCTGCTTCTTTATGTGGATTAAATCTATTAAGTGTTAATTTTTCATTTATTGAGTGATCGTCTTTACCACGTTTATATTTCTTTAATTTCATTTCAGCCAAACGATGCTCCATTTCACTTGCATTTACACGATATTGTGCTAATTCCATACTGATATGTGTTGTACGTCTTTTATTTTGATTGGTATACTTTTGCGACTTAGATTGTTCTAATTTATTTGATTTTATAGTCTGTTTTTTTTCTTCTTGTTCATTCAAACTTGAAATATTTTGATGATTTCTACTAATTTTAGTGTCGCTTTTATCCAGTGTATGAATTTCTTTTAACAAAACACTTGGATTCAATGTTACTACAGGTTCTGATAAAGCTCTGGTTCTAGGCACTGCCAGTAAATTAGCTGGTGAAGAGTAATTTGGGTGCTGCGATTCAATTACCTCCCACTTAGAACCAAATGGTAATAATTTAGTATGCGGTACTCCACGTAACATACTTTCATATCGTGTTATTTCGTCTTCATATACACGAATGTATTCAATTGCTAAGCATACACTACTGTGATAACGATATAACATAACCATTGGTAGGGATACATTTATGTAGATGAACAAACTTTGAAGTTCACTTGTTTGTACATAGTTTTTATTCACACTGAGTAGTATATTGTTATGTTTTGCCTAGTCCAAATAGAAATCGGAAGTAGACAAAAAGGTTCTATATTAGGTGATGCAGAATGTAAAACAACTGAAGTTGATAAAGATATTGGAAATCGTCTGTTGAGTATAGGTTTGGATGAGATAGTAGTTCTTAGACAATACTCAACTTTTATGAAGTATTCTCACTAATAATTAAAGGGAAAAATAAACTTTTCTCTTCAAGGGTTGTTTTAATTTTAAAATAATTAGGCTGAATCTTCAAGTGACCATTTTTTAAAAACAATTTTAATTATTATAAGCAAAGATGGACAGTGGCTAGAAGCGGAATCCAGGACGCGCGTTTCGTCCTATTTGGGACTCGTCAGCTGGATGTACCTGCATCTCAGAGTTGATGTTCACCCTAAGACTCGGATCCAGTACCATTTGCTTCAAACGCTATCGCGTTATCCAGAGTGAACATCAACTATGAGATGCAGGTACATCCAGCTGACGAGTCCCAAATAGGACGAAACGCGCGTCCTAGATTCCGCTGCTAGCCACTATCCATCTTTGTTTATAATGCTTGTAAATTAAGGCAATATCGAGGCAATTAGCACAGTATGAACATATGCCAATAAGAGACTGATCGATTTCAGTCCTAAACATCAATGGGAAGATTCATGTAAAACAATACAGTGAGTTTTAATTATTCTTTTGTTGAGTGAACACGATAATTTACAGTTCATTAGTTTGAAGTAAACTGTATTATCCAGGCCCATAAAATATAGTCGAACCAACTTTTCTGTATGACCAACAATTACATGATATCTTTTTCAATGTTAATTCCTTAGAGACTAGCATTATAAAACTTATAAAACATATGCTTAATGACAGCTTTTAAAGTATGGTATTTGAGCAATCGATGCAAAAAAATAATCTAAGCTTGGTGATGGTAAAACTGACTAGGATCTTTAGTAGTTGTGTTTTATGATGTTGACGTCCAGGGAAAGGATAAACTGGTTTGATAATCTTGTGTAGTGAAAAAATAGCAGGTGAAGAAATCGAAGTTATTTTAGCATGATAATTTTGTTGTGTCTGATAATATTGTATCAAATGAAACATCCCGCTGACTCACAGCTATGTGTAAAAATTAAAACAAACATACAAATGTAAAGGTACAAAATGTTACACGTGTTTGTATTATTTCATTTTAACATGCATTTAAGTGACGCAAAAGGATAAGTAATAAGTATTGATATAGTGGTACGTAGAGACATTTTCAGTTTTCTTCACCAACTGACAATCTATAAAACCTTCAAAACGTTAGATGCACTAGTCAGATGTAATATTTTCTTTGGAAATCATCAGCAGTGAATAAAAAATGACTCTACTTGGGAATCGGGCTCACGATCTTCTAGTTTAACAATGAATCTGATTATATGCAGTTAATATGTTAAGCTTTTACCAGTGTATTAAACTTAAAAATTAGGAACCAGTAGATAGGAGTTCAGTTGTCGAGTGTTATTGCACATTATTATGAGTCGAAGGTGCTAGTTTGGTCTTACTTTGGCTTTGGGTGAACATTTTTATTGATAAGCAAATGGTACAGATCATCTGTTTAGTGCTTCTTGAAGTTAAATGGGTTTTTGTCAGATGTCACTCTACGATAAAAGCAATATTTGAAAATGAAATTTAAACGAGTAATCAAAAACATATGTTTTAAAAACATGAATATTAAATAGAATTTAAATAAAGTGGTCAATGCTAATACATGTCAAAAAAATTGGACAGATACTAGATACTGACATCTGTAGAAATCCAACTAGATTAGCAGACATTTATTTTACAGTTAATTTGTATTCTAGTCTAGTCACAGCCTACTCTCGTACAGATTGGTTTGTCTCACTTTGACTGATATGTATTCTTCCCCATAATAGATGAATTAACTTCCCTGGATAAAACCGTAAACTTCGTGGTTCCATGGATCTATTTTCAACGTTAAAAATATTCCCAAGATAGAACATTTATGCCTCTTTCGTGTCCTTTAATATTTTTTGGGATTGACTATACTTATAGATCCTCAAGAACACTTCATTATAGAAGTTCAGTATTTGTTGGCTAACAGCGGGATAAATCCTTGTTACCATTAAAATGTTGACATAATGAAAAAAATACGCATCTCAGATAAATGATTTTGCTTGTATTCTTTGAGGTGTGAGATTTAGCTGTGACATGCTTCATGTCGAAATGAGCTCTAATGATGTTTTCAAGAGCAGCAATAAAATATTTGTAATAAACTACTGAGCTCGAGGTACAAACACAATAAAAAATTAACTAAAGTTGACTTAGGTATAAGGGTAATAATAAATAAATAAAGTATTGAATGTTCGGCCCTTAGAAGGCTGTATGTAACCATGTCATTAGCAAATTAATGACCATTTCCCTTTGAAATAAAAAGGTAGAGACCATCAATATAAACTATAGTGAAGTAGATTAAAACAGAATTATTAATTATTTATTCTTTTCAAAATTCATTTCGCCCGTTTTATTCTTAAATAACTGAAACGTTCGAGTCATTATTCTTACATGATTATCATTAGTTAGTTATCTATTCACTTATTAGATATTTCGTAATCTACCAGCCGTTTAACGACATATTTTGATTCATTTACAAATGTTTCTTTGAATTTTTTAACTATTTCATTCTAATTTTTTTCAGTTATTTTGCTAAGCATTCGATAAACGTGATGTTGTATTTCTAATATTGTGGTGTATGCTACTTAAGTCTGTCGACATAAGTAGTATGTAACACCAATAGGAAATGGAAACCCTGGTAGCAAGAGGCTATGAAAGTCGACTTGAAGAAAACAGAAACGGAATAAGAAAGGAATTGTGAATTGGAAGAATCATACAGAATGGGAAGTACAAATGATGGAAATTCGCAAATGGAGTATTTAATGTATGGTTCTTATATTTTACCAAAAGATTCTGTAATTTCGTATTAAAATATATTTGGTCGTCCCCACCTGCGATTTTGTTCACTACAATAAGCAACCTCATCACCTGGCTGATACTTTATATATATATATATATATATATATATATATATATAGAGAGAGAGAGAGAGAGAGAGAGAGAGAGAGAGAGAACTAACTAAAAAGTAACATTTCTTTAATATATTTATCTTTTTATAAATGCCTAAGTGGGGACTTCTATTTTATTAAAATATTACCCTAACAAAATAGTTTGTGACTGCATGGAGACCGAATATTATGTAATTGTTTGGAGATGATCGCTTCATTAATTTTCTTTCTGACATATCTGACATATGAAATATGTATATTATATGTAGTAAGATCACAAAAATTAAAGTACTTGTCATCTTACCTGAAAGCTATAAATCATCCATAAAGAAAAATTTATGGCTGATAATAATGCAATCATTGCACGGCCTGGCTTACGCTGTTGATATGATGCGTCGTGACAACATCTATAGAATAAGTCATTTATAAAAAAATTCTGCACTGTAACTTGTATTAACTCTAAAAATGCTGAGAATAAATGTAATTTAAGACACTCTTGTTCATTATTACTGAAACCATTACCCAATAAGAATGCAATATTGAGTAGAATACATGCTACTAAAAATGTGACAGTTATAAAAAATGTAACTATTAATAATTTGCTATCTAAATTTTGATTTGAAAAATTCACTGAGAATTTCAATTTCCTTGTATTCCATATACCAATAACACAAAATATTAATGCAATAATAAAGAGTATGCTTGTTTCAGTTGAATGAGCGATATATACATGATCATGAATTTTTTTCCCCCAAATCTCCAATAACATAACAACTCCCATAACAGTACAAATTATAATTGTTCCGATAATGATGCCAATGGAACCACGATCAACACATTTCACATGGTGTTCTTTTTTCTAATATTTTAAATAGAAACACAAAAAGAAAGCAAGTACATTCATGTATGACTAGATTTTGTTAAAAAGATTACACTGAACAAAACTTTTTGATAAAATACGATTTATTATAGAGAATTAAAAGTAATATTTAATTGATAGGAAATGTAGTTCAGGAAACGCGTTTCTTTCAACATAGGTAATTATACATCCACAAGTAGTTATATTCTGATAGTCAATATATATAAAACGATAAATATTCACTAGTCGTTTATTACTAGTACTGATTGATAAATTAATTTTAATTTGGCTGTTTTAAATAATATGATTGAAGTCACTAACAGAAAATAGATGATTGCTTCATAGTTTGTCTTACAATCATTGACTATCAGGAGGTTCATCTAATAGCCCATGTTGCATTTAATTTGTCCATATCATAAGAAATTCGTCGACTTAGTATAGAACTAAGGTAACTCAGTCTGAGATGTTTAGTTTTTAACCTGTTGATTAATAGATTCTGGCCAGATGTTGATATTAAGGGAAATTAGTTATCCACCAAGCTGATGATATAAAGGATAAACAAGTGGTTAAATCTATCAATATAACTAAAGTAATCAATGGTGTCTATCATAACAGTGGTCAGTGATCGTTAGACTATCAATAATTAAGTGGGCTTAGTATAGAAATAATGTCTTCATTCGTCCGTTAATTGATAAGCAAAGTTGCACACAAAAGTGAGGTTGATTTCTTGACAAAGAGAAGGACTATACTGCAAGTTTTGTATAAAATAATGACTACAGATGCCACTCACATCAATACATATTTAGGTGATAGGAGTTATTTGAGTAGAGTTTAAGTAAAATACTTTCAACAGATAAACAACTACTACAGCATCTAATTAATTGAATTTTCATATGTTTAAAGTATATACTCTTTGTTTGCGTAGGAAATAGACATTTATCTTTAAATTACTTGAAAAAATATGAGTGTATCTCGGTTGATACACTGATATGTAGAAGTAAGTTTCTCCCATCATTAGGGTCACTGTATCGTTATTCTGTAGTCTTTAAAGTTTAAATTTATGTAAACATATGTGCAACTTACTTCATGTTGACATTCAATTTGTTTCAACTGTCCAACACGATGTAACAATTCGTAAACTACAGCCACAGCAATTGCACAATATTCTGGTACTGCAGGGAGAAAATAATTCGTTGCCGCTAATTCATACTTTTTATGTACAACAGTTATATTTAGGACTGCCAAAGTTCCAATACTCTTAGATATTTTTTTAATAACAGCATCTGACCAGATGCACAGATTCACTGTTAGAATGTGTAGTAGTATAAAACTGAAGATGCGTATTCTCACAAGAATTACTATCTGTAAAAATGAAACATTGAAAAAACCTATTTATACATTATTAATAAAATGCCATTTATTCACATGTAATAATTTTCTGTTTTGTTTAAACGTGGAGAAACAAACTCTTAAGGGTATTTATTGTACAATTCGGTTGTTTGGATTTTAGTCTTTGCTATTATCATTTGACAAACAAACATAATTGTGTTTGTTTGTTATATGATAACAGGAAAGATTAAATTTGAATTAGATATCTGAATATTTAAATATCAAAGCTCGTCGTTCATTATATCATATGTTGGTTAGAGAGAAAGTCAGAAACATATTTCCCTTTCATTTATGAACAATAAACGCCCCATTCATTATATAAAACGTTATCTAGTGTGACCAAAGTGACTCAAAACTAACCGTCGCCGTGAATCTTCAGTTATATACTACTGTTCAAAATGTACACGTGTTACAGTGCAGAGAAATAAGTGAGATTCCTTAGAGGTATCTGGATTTCGATTCATAACAACCCAGTTAAGAAAAGAATTATGAAATAAAGATCCTATAAACAAGTTTAATATACAGTTGTATGTAGGATAACCTCATAATCAAAAAGTGTAGATGATCCTTTTGACTCACGAGATTTCGTCTTCACTTTATTAGTTGCTGACAAAGTTATAGAACTGTTTTTTGCTAATCTAACTACAGTAAACGAAAATCTCTATAACTTCATTATAAAGCGTTTAACCGTAGTAAATATGTGGCTTTTATAATAAGAAGTAATTTATCCACAAAAATATAATAAATCAATTCTCTCACCTTAACAGATGAATATCTACCAAGTCTCCTAGAGCATAAGCAAAATATTTATCAGTCAAGTCACCTGAAGGGATGTTTTTGTAAAAAACAAGAGATTTACTAGACTTCCAGTAATTCTAATAAAAATGTATATACAGATAAAGTAACGGACATTTTACTGAGACACGTATGGTTTCTATTTATCATTCATGTTACTGACTGGGTTTGTTTTGTTAACTTTCCCATGTTGGCTATGATTTAAACTTATATTTTTTTCAAACAATTTATTTTTCCAAAGTAAGGATTACAATAGGTAGAAAAAGAACCGTAATATCTTCAAAAAGTTTTTTGCATCAGGGTTTTTAATTGAATTCCTTCATAAATATTCATTAAAGATTATTGATCTTTTTAGTGGTAATTATGCTCGTGCATGGAATGAATAACGGTTGAACAGTTTGAGCTTTAAATAATGCTACATTTAAACAATAAAATCTTAAGGGAAACAAGATAAACAGGTTTGCATTCGATTTATTTATGTGAATGAACGATATATATGTGCATATTACTACCAAAAATCATGAAGGAGCATTATGCTTAACATTATAGATGTGGTTATTAGTTACATTGGTTCAATTGAGCATACACTTAGAGCAACCAAATTCTTAAAATACTCGCACAATAAAAGATTCACTCTCTTTTTATAACCATCAATCCAATCCCTAACATATTTGGATTACTTTTCAACTTATCACTTATCTTGTCATAGTGCATCCCTTCAGCAAGGATCCTATATTTTTAGTTGGGTTATGTCTTTGAAGAAAAAATTCTAGAAAGCGTCCAAATAAAGCATTCTCCCAATTTCTAAACTAAACATTGAGTATCTAGTCTTGTGTCTATGTATACACGGATACTTTTTTTCAATTACTTCAAGTAAAATCAGGTGCTAGTGTTTACGTCTAAAAGGTACCAAATTAATGGTCACATAATCTTTTATTTCGGTCTCAGTTTCTAAGACATATGTTAAACACAGAGTCGACCAAATTAGACTGATTAGTACATCCAAGGATGAATCAATCTTGATAGCTTAAACATTTTGTATTTCAACATAAATTCACCAATAGAAATTCCATAAAATTAGAGCAATATACTACTTATTACATTATTCACTTTCTCATTTAGATAATCCCAATAGACTGGATTAGAAGATTACTAAAATGGTGTGAATAAACAAAACAGTGGTTTACTCTGGATAGTAGAAAGTGGGTACGAGGAACGCTCATAATATCTGCGAATAGCTGAAACTCCTTTTAAAAGGGGTACAAATATTTCTACTAATGATTTCCCGTTATCATAGTTCATTATTATTAATAAAGGAAACAATGAAGAAATATGGTGATCAGTAGTGTTCACCCATTATAATTTCTCATTATTGCTATAAATGACTGTAACTAACCGATCATGAAGAATTTACTACCAATACTCTGGATTTTGAATGGGTGATTAAATTTTGTTATACTTTTCAGCAACCAATAAGCTTTTTTGTTCCAAATTATTCAGGAGAGAACATATGGGATGTTGTTGGGTCCCATTCTAGAGGGAAACATCTAATCAGTGTAGATGAATTTTGATGGTCTTTCATTTGATATCAGTTAGCAATGAAAAAAAACTTTAAACCTAATAAAGTCTTCAGAACATCCTCCCTATGTGATAAAATGAACCTTGTATTTATGCTGTGTTTTTCTTTTGATCTGTTTGTTAATCACTGAGAAACGAAATTATATGTATATGTACTATAACATATGTTGACATTAACTTCACATCTGTATCCATCTGTGATCTTCGACGCATCAGATGGATTATAATTAAAAAAATAATTTACACTATCTTTATCAGAAATGGACAGATTTTTTAAATGAGAAATATGTTTTCATTACAGATAAATACATCGCTGCTTTTATACAAAAATTGGGAACTTACACGATGTAAAAGTAGCAAAAATACGGTCTGAGTGATAAAGAACAGAATTTTGAAAAATATGTAAATAATAGAGGCCGAATGTAACGGATATTTCTTTGCAATTTCATAACATCTTGTAGCTGAATGAACGATGGACATGGCTGCAAACACTAGATAGAAATGAAAGTGAAGTTAGGAACAGAATACATACACTAAGTGTAGTAGACAATGATTATTTTCCAGATGAACTTTAAGTTTCAAACTGATTATAAATAGCATAAAACTAGGCATAAACATAGAAACGTTTGCATGGACTTATATTTGAATGTTTGATTTCACCTAAGTTGATTGGTTTAGATTAAGTGAGCTTTTTGCCAGTCACTCAACTTATGAACTAAACGCGACACAAGGAATATTATTTTTGCACTGATTTAATAAGTAAAATGTCTTCTTTTACTAGTAAGCTTTTGCTGAATGGATCATGTCGGGTAGTTTTTCAAAAGAACTGACATAAGCTGAAAGCCATTAAAAAAGATTATTCTAGCCAGTCGTTTTATCTAGTCCTCACATCGGACCCATAACATCACTAAACTTGAACGTTTATGTGCTTGGAGAAAAATGTGAAGGCGTGAATTCAACATTGTTAAAAGTAGGGTTATGCTTGTCTCTAAAGTTACCAGTTCAAAAAATTAAATGCATAGTATCTTTTGGTGTAAACTGCTTTTCTAGAAGACATTAACTTGTGATTTAAATATATTCACTGATAGTGTAGAGAACTTGTGAAAATTGTTGTTTTTTACAATTTACAATACGAACTGACAACTAATGAAAACCAGGAACGTTTGGACTGCTGTTTCGTCCTAGTATGGAATTGTCAGCAGTGAGCATCCACGATCCCACCAAGGACCGAGCCCAGGACGTTTAGCTCTCGCGACGAGCAATACATATTTATTTCTTACCCCAGTCAACTCGGGTAAGAAGCTGTAAATTGTAGAGTTCAACCATATCGAATGTGGGGCAGTCATTCACCAGTGACCTCTTGAGATGGTTGTGTAGCAGCGAGAATTGATTGAAATCAGAAATCTGAACAGTTATGTACCAACTCAGGGGTTAGAATGTTAATGACTCTCTGAGAGACCTGAAAGTCCTGGGTTCGACCGTTGACGGAGCCGTGAAAGCCTGCTTCTGACTTCTCTTTGACTGGGACAAAACTGATAGCCATTGTTTATTGGTTTTCAGTGGTAGTCTAGCTGACGTTAGTTTGTCATGTACATTTTATGTCCACTGAATTAAACATATTTTTACGAAAACGATAAGCGTAAGACGATGAGAAATTTGAAGACTCTACCTTCAGGTAAATTCCCTGGTTGTTTTAGGCAACGAAAACGAAGATAGGACGAATGTGTCGGTACAAACGGGTAGCATTTCAAATATGATATCCTCCAAATTCAGTAGGTCCAACTGCATTTCACATAGTTATTGTAGTTACTGTAGTTACAGTACTTGTTTAAAAACTTTTATAAAAACTCGGAAAGACTCTGTACCTAGTAACAAACACAAAACAATACCTGGTAAACTTTTAAGAGGTTGTTAGTTATTTTTTTCTTTTGAATCCGCCTACTACAGGTACACTTTTATATTATTTTATTCTAAATAAAGTACTTTATAGTGAAGTTTTACATAATTGTCTTCTCAGATGCCAATTAGGTGTTAAATTAGTATTATAACAATTTAAAAGAACAATAGTAGTGTTTAGTAACGGTCTTTGAAAATGAATTAGGAAGTTTGAGTAAAAATTCAAAATACAAGTGAGAGAGTAATCTAATACTGAAATCAAGTTGTCCCTTGGAGAAAATGTTTCCTGTATATGATTTGCAAAGCCTGAGTCGTTCCATGTGCATAGAGTTACAAATAATCGGAAGAGTTAGTGAACTTGGTGGAAGTTTCCGAAAGTTATTCAAGATTAACTTTGAAAGAAGGTGAACCATTAATGAATCGGTGTACTAGATAGTATGAATTTAGAAATAAAACTTCTGCCAGTGTAAATAATTTCCCACCCTATTTGTAAAAAGCCAACAATTTAATGGATTCGTTGTTTATAAAAGGAAAATGAAATAGTGTTGTTTATAAACGAGAATATACGATTGCGATTTTCTTGAATTTTTTACTATTTCCATTTAGTTAAAGTATTAAAATGTGAAGATTCCACAAGAACCGAATATTATTTTTTAGGGCATACATAGTTTATGAGTAATTAGATTGAAAAGGAAAATGAAGCCTCTATTTTTAAGTCGAAGATTAAAATGATTTAAATTTTCATTGTTATCGGAATGTCGTTGTCAACTGAAAGATCTAAACCGAAAAAACAATGTAAAATTATAAAAAAATGCAACCAGTGAATTCGAGAGCTTGGCGTTGGTACTCTTACTCAGACGATTCAGTAATAGACTGGGAAATAATAACTTACACGTAGTTGTTCTAAGTGATTAAATGAAAGGAGATGATCACAAAACTTGAATTTGATACGTGCATCATGTTTGTCTAAACAACATCTATTCACCTCAAGAAAATAAACACAGACATGGACTAAGAATATCATCCTAACCTAATTAATCCTCAGTTTTGTGAATTCTCAAATTCTTATTAATAGTCTCACAACGTTATTCTCTTTACAAATTTGGCATTTAATAGGGCATGTTTAAAAAAGTTAGTTCAGATATTTGTACCGTAGATTAAATACAACACAATAATATTAAAGGCAATGGTAAGTTCTGATTATTATAATTTTCGTTACGTTCCGAACATTTATCCAAACTTCACAAGCTAAAGTTGTATGTAGCTAATGAGAAACCGTAAAATAGAATGAATTTATTTCATTCTACCAACCTTATTATTCTTGCTGTTCATAAATTTATCAAGGGATCTGGTTGTATGAGATTTTTGAAAAAAAAAACGCCTCTCTGAAAAGTCAGTCAAGTCACCGAACCAAGTTGTGACATGTCTATGTATAATATCACCAGAGTCGACAAGAGTGAAGTTATTTGAAAAATGCTTAGAAACGAAATACATTCTTCGTTAACTCTTCGAGATACTTCGCTCAACCAAACGTTGACTTCCACAGAAGGATCTTCGTCGAATAACCTAATCTCATATCAAGCCATCTATCAAGTATATTTTATCTATGAAATTCAAAGTGTTTCCGTCCTACAAGTTCATTGATAATCTAATATTATATATCAAATTAAGTCCACAAAATTCATCCTAGAGCTACAACATAACACACCCAGTTCTTTCGAGAATACACTACTGAAACCTCTAGTGAAAGAAATAATACACGAAGAATTACCTGGACCTTCCGAAAAATATATTCATATTCTATCAAGTATAAAGGTTAATAAAGCTGAAAGTCAAGGTCTCTCCTGGATTTAAATTTCATGTTGCATATAAAAATGTCAAAAATTAACACACAAAAAAGTTCGGAAGCCTGTAACAACAAATTACTGACTTTAAGTCTATAGACGAAGACAGAAAAGATCGGTTTCGCTCAAAAGTGGTTGATATTGAAAATCAGTGCTATATTTCCACAACTCCATATTCAAAACGCTTAACAAAGGAATTTATGTCAGCACTCAAGAATTTACAAAAAAATAAGATCATTGTAGTAAATTCAAATAAAGGCCCCGGTGTCGTAATAATGAATCCAAAAGATTATGTGTATAAAATGTTCCGAATTCTGAACGATACATTAAAATTCCAAATCGAAAAATCTAGGAAAGATACCATTGCAACAGTCGGAAATAGTGTCCATAAATATCTTAAGGAACTTTCAAAGAAGGAACTCATTGATAATTTAAAAAGAACACTTCAACAACTCTCATCCCAAAATAATATTTACAATAGAATATGAAAGAGATAATCAATTCAATTTTTTAACTTTTAAAGTACGACAGAAAATGATCCGACTATTGAGAAAAGTATAAATAGGAAAAATATATGGACAGGACAGCAATTGAACTTTAACAGCTTTTATCGTATCCGTTACAAGAGGTGTCTAGTCAAAGCGCTCTTCAATAGACCTATGATGTTTTCTGAAGCGACAAAACAAAGAGGAATTGGCTATTCTAGAAAAGCATCTGATGGAAATGGATACCCGAGGAAACATATTACTAAATACAGGAAAGAATGTCCTAAAAATGAGAAACAACCAACTGTTGGAAAGAAACCTGTCTTCATCCGCCCTCTAATCAAGAAACAAACGATTTCAGGATGAACCGATAAAAGTGTCAAGGCGGCGCTAAAAAGAAGATTCCCTGCAGCTCAATCGGTTTCACAATACAACAAGAAGTTAATAATAAATATATTTTTTTGTTGTATCCCAATGAATAAAAAGATTTTCCTATCAATTGGGGTATAACAAAAAATACATTTATTATTAACTTTCAACCCAATGCCAAATTTATTTAAAACTATCAAGTCCAATCTTGATATTAATACCTACAACACCAAGTGTTCTTTATACCATTCAAAGGTAGGTCATCACCTTTCCGACATCATCTCTAATTGCATTTATTGACGTACATGTACTGCAGTAGCAAGTACATAGGAAAGACAGAGAGAAGGATCCCTAAAAGGTTTCGTGAACACATTTTCGGGGACCCACGGCTAAAAGAGAGTAAAGTCTGTACAAGTGCAATCGTCAGACATCTTATGGATAGTAGGTATGAAGTGAATGTAAGTGATGCATTCAAAATAATCAACGGACAAAACATATCACTCTTACACAGTTTTGCAGAGGTGATAGCTACCAAACGTTTTCAACCTAACCTCTGTATATAAACGGAAAGTTTGATTTGCCTTTCCCTGCAATGGTGATTGGATATTTGTCTAATAACCTTTGTTAATTATAAACGTTTTTCAACCCTGTCCACGACCTTTTTATTCTGACTATTTTTTCGTCATCTGATATCCATCTCTAACATAATCTGACTGGTGTTCACATATTTGTTCATTTTATCATATTGAGAGATGACCCAATCAATTGTTAATTGCATTACCGTAATATAATCACTGAATTATTTCAATCCAAAGTATGCTAACACATTTGTTAGCAAGTTCATATTAATAATTGCATCTAACTGATGAGAAACCGTGAAATAGAATGATGGGTTCATTTTATTCTGTGAACCTTGTTGTTCTTGCTTTGTTTGAATATTAAATTAAATTTAAAGAATTCATATTTCTAATTGTTGTAGGAGTGTACGTGTTGTTAGGTTTTGATCAAATGTTATAGAAGTTAAAGGAGTTAAGAGTGTATTTCAGTTTTTTATTGGTTTGGTAAGTCAAAAAAGAAATGACAATATTGACAGTGTATCATCTGGTCATAAATGATATAAAGGAGTTCCGGACGGATAGTGACACATCTAATAAATGCTAAAAATAAGTCATCGGGTATCAGCATACTGTAACCGACTGTCTGAAGCGATATGCGATTTTGGTTATCTAACGGTTTTGAGTCACATAAATCAAAAGTTATGAAATTAATCAATCTTTTGTTCGTTCAGTGTGAACTTCCTTTTCATGTCAATTTTTATTAACGTATGAAACAGTGAACCAGTGCCAACCGTCATCAATTCAGTAGGTTGAATACCAAGAAGCTTTAAAAACTGTGATCACTAGAGCAATCAAAAACTTCAGAAAATAAAAAATAAACCATTCTAAACTCAAAACAAATGAATAAATTAACAAAAGTGGATTTTTTTGAGGCTTGATAAGTTCTAGCTATCTTATTTATTGAACATCTTAAGCGATTTTCGGACCCAAACATTTAATTCCCAAAAGGTCATATGACGTGTGACTGAATAGTTAATTAACTGAGGAATTTGAATTTCAAGTTCTATGGGATGTAATAGGATGGAGAAATATTAATTCTCTTTATTTTTATGATGTGTGTGGTTTGAAATGTACACGTTAACGTGTGAGAAAACTAGAGATAAAACAGTTAGGTCATGTGCAATTTTGACTATTTTAAGAAGCAGTCTGTTCAATGTAAGGAGAAGCATTTCGATTAAATTCCACTGCGTGTTTTTATAATAACATAAAATCCTTTCATTACTATTAAGTAGACCTGATGATGTGGCCATGGGTTTCCATATTCTGAGGTATGCTTTACTGAAATCATTCAATGTACGGGGAACATGTTGATAGTTGCTTCAAGTATCAATTCTACGATCTTAACATCGGCTTGACCTGTGTTTTTACTAATTTTCCGACAGAAACCTCTGAGATCATTACACCTAACTGATTTCTAACAGCATTTCCAAAGACTATTTTGTATAAGCTAAGGTGATTGTTGGAAAGTATTGGTGAGATATACTTTAATTTGTTTTTTAAGGGGAAAAGATCAGTATTTTCTTTATGATTCGTGTAGTTTTTCCCTGTGATATGGTAGTAAGTAAAACTAAGTTGTAGATGAATAATAAGTGATATTTTTTAAACATAAGTGCAAATTAAGGGATCTCTTTTAAAGTATGAACGTATATAAGATTTAAGTGGCCATAAATACTAATAGTCTCATAGGAACAACAGTCCTATATCTGTATCAAAAATATCTACATGTAGTATTCATTTTGTGAAAGTCATCGATCAAGTTTTAAACGGTTTCTTCATTCTTCACCATGGAATTTTTGAAGGAATATTAGGCTCATGAAGATTATGTTGTGGTTCTCAACAAATTTATGATAAGTTACAAGGAGTTTATTTTCAACTCAAAAAAATTTTCATGACAACGTAAACAACATCAACTCTGGGATGCAGGTACATCCAGCTGACGAGTCCCAAATAGGACGAAACACGCGTCCTGGATTCCACTAATAGCCACCGTCATCTCAGATTATAAAAGCGGTTTATATTGATATCATATTATTTATTTTGTACACGGGTACGTTCAAACTAAACAATTGAATAGTAATTTTAAGAACTCGTATGTTCATTTTTAACTTGTGAATTAAGTTTTAGGTTGAAGAGAACTAATGGGATAAAATGAATTTCTTTCTTTTTCGAAGTGCAAACTGAGATCTTTCAGCTTTTAAAATATATTTACATTACCCGTGAGAGGTTTGTTTACCGAGTCACTGTTTTCAAAATCTTTATCATGAGTAACACGATTTCTACAACTCGTATATTGACCACAATAAGAGATACTATACAGTGTTTTCGATGTGTTTACTTTTGTGGACATCTGCTATATGCCTGTCACGTTTTCATGCAATTTGGATGAAGATGGTTGTAAAAAAGAAATAGAGAACTTATGACTTCAATATGGCTGGCCTGGTCAATAGAATAATTGGTTTATTCACATTACGTTTAGTGAGTTGTAGCAAAAATAAAATGAGAAACACAACGAATAAGAATATTATGAGTAAACAGTTACAAAATTTTCGTACTCCAGATCAGGTGTAATATTGATAAAAAAACGCCAGAACGTGTTAGAGTCTTGAAAGCGATTTATTTTCCTCTTCATCCATTTACCCAAAGATGTTGGATTTCATTAAAATCACGAACCGATCTAAGTTAGACCGCCTTTGAAAACAAAAAAACACTAGACGGCCATTTCTCCATATTATGGGCTTCACAGCAATTCCCATCCATGATTTCGCACGCGGAAATCGAATGCAGGACTTTCGATATCGCATGCGAGCGTTTAGTCACTAGACCAGTCAGCCGGTATCCAACAATATTAATATCTAACCTTAGTCAGTCTATGACATTGCGAGACCATGTCCCATTGTCTAAAATTGTGTTTAAAGTCGTGTTAATGCACAGACTAGATTGATGAAATGAAATAATATCTATCTTCTGATTTTACCCGACAATCAAAGGAAAACATACTGGTTTTTCGAAAGTTAATTCCAATTCTCACTGACAAAAACTTCAAAGTTATATTGACTTATCACTCTCCAATAAAACGAATGACGGATTGGTAATTATAACTTTCATCCACTTCAAACTCCATTGATGAATAGGTTGAACAGTTTAGGTTATGTTTCTAGTTGCTTTCATTCTGAAAATATCATACCCATAAATTAATTTAGTGACATCTGAAGATATATAGACAAATTTATTCTTGAGATGGTGGAGAAGATTTGTAGCTCAGGTGGATGATTTTGATGGAGTTTTGTTCTCTGAGCTAGATGGTTTGGTCACGACCAAATTTATTCTTAATTAGCGCATCACAATTGACTGGGTTATCACTTAAACAAAAAACTGACTATATTTAGCTTTGACTAGCGATGAAAGAAATAGGGCGCTTCTTATTACACAAAAGATTTTACATTTGCACACAAGATGTTCTGTCTTTTGATAATAACTCATTAGACGTTGTGTTAATGACTAAGTTTTTGCGTAATAACTGCTTTGTCACACTGTTCATACGAGCTCAAACGACTGACTGTGCATCTACACAAACGTATAGTATTTTACAGTTATACAGTTGATTGAAACCTAACAATATATTGCAGCGTATGATTGTTAGTATTTAGTTATCAGCTCTGGAATCTAAGAATACCTTTTGTATGTATTTTGTGACTCATAGATAGTACTAAAATAAATAGCTGATTAACTCAGAAATGTTAACTTCATGTTTGACATAATTAACAACTAATATGGGATTCGTTCAACACTAATATTTAGCTAAAATACCTATAAATAGATAATAAATCGGCCAGCTTCAGAAGTATTTTCCAGATCATGCATCGAATATGTTACTACTCCAAAATAAGTTGAACTAAAAAACCTTTATTTTATAGTGGTTCATTGTAAACGTCTTTGAGAGCCTTAAATCAACCATAAAATAGATTTTATTAAGTAAAGAATGTATAAAAATTTGTGTCAAAAACTATAGAAGCTTAGATGTAGCCAATAATGATCATGGCAAATTTATCATTTAATAACTAGTTGCAAATTCCATAACAGCAGTATAAAATTTAAGACGTAAAATTTTATATGAATTGCATTTTAGGTTGAAAAAGTTAACGAGACGTGATTAAAGTTAATGCTTAAGCAGATAAATAGTCACTAACTCACAAAAGTATACATTTTTCACACTGTTAATTTATATTCTATAATCATACCGGTTTACGTATTCATCATAGAAAACACCATCGCTTCACTTACTTATGAACAGAAATAAGCAGTATTGATAACGAAAGAGTAAAGTAATTCATGAATATAGCACTGACTAAAACTCACATCCAATTCCGAAACGCAGATACAAGTTTACATCTTCGCCACGAAATGAAAAGGCAATTCTAGGAGCTGATAACTCTCCTTTTTCGATTGCCTCCAAACTAGCATTGCGATGTCGATACACGTAGCCCAGTGTAAAAATCATAACAACGATAGAGCTGACAAACATTATGGTATAAAATGACTATAAAAATGTAAGGAAAAGTAGAAGAATAAATTAGTTATTTAGATCAAATGTGAGCTCTTTTATGCTATTTTTATAAAATTTCTACATTTTAATTTTAGAAATGATGACAAACTGTACACGTCATCTTTAGCGTTTAGTCGGAATATTATGACCATCGAAGTTTTCTCAAATTTCATTTTTATACAAAAAGGGTCAATTAACCATGTTTGACATAAATAGTTGTACACTAAATTATAGGAAAATGACGAAATAAACTAGACTTGGGTGTTATTTTAAACTCAGGGAAATTTTTGAGCAATATTTACTGACAGTAAGTAGAATAGTTTTAAGACTATGATAAGCGTATCTGAATTGTCTTTTGTAAATTTTACATCATGTGCTATATTCTGAGCTACTTTTTACTTGGTGAATTATTCTTTATTTTATTTACAGGTTTGGTTCTCCAATCTCACAATACTTTTAGAGGCTAATTCTAATGCTTCTTTGTCTCGTGTCTCATTAGAAGAACAGTGTTGATCTCATTTGATACTTTTGTGTCATATTCCACATTCTCTACAGTCTCTGGTATAATTAAAAAGGTTGGATGCACTCACAGTGTGTCCAGCTGACATAGAATATTACCACGATACATCAAATAAAATTTTGTATAAAGGTCAAAAGTTACCGATAACTTTACTGTAATGTCATTAAAACATGAATTAACATTGTTGGAATTTTACTATTTTAACGAGCGATGCAAGCTCCAATACAATTTCGTTTATTATCTTTTTGTCTTAGTCAAAATAACTAGGCTTCATAGTTTTCATGAATTCACTAATCGTTTTCCAAACTTATAGTATGCCAAATTCAAAGGCTTTAGAATCATTGGTTATGTGTATCGATCTGTTTCGTATTAAATGTGAAATGCTTATTGCCATTAATTTAAAGTACCAGATGAACCACAGACACATCCATATTTATAAATTAAATCGTTTTAAAATGAAAATGTTTCGCTTTCGTCCATTTAGAGCCTTATAGGTAGCTAGTATTTTTGATTGTGTTACTTAATTCTTAGCAAAAGAAACATGTGACAACAATTAGGTTAGAAATTTCATTCGTGACTATATTCGTCTATGGAAATATTTGGAATTTTTTGTTAGTTAGTTAGTTACGTCCCGAACAGCTTACATCCAAGATTTTGCAGCTACATGATATTTAGTTGAATCCTGTAGGTATTAATTATCCCATTAAGGTTATAGTAACTCCTTCCTGAAAGGTCTCCTATAAACTAACTTCAACCGCCTAAACATACTGCACATGATGGCAAATCACCTAGACTTATGACCACATGTTAACTTGTCTGATAGAATTTGGTCGCTTTTAAGAACTAAAAAAACACGAGATTAGCTTCTACAAAGGGATTGATTAATGTAATTTAGAATTTGTTTGTAGGGAGTTCATATGAAGTTATTCCCTTTTATCTCATTACTTCTTAATTTATAAAGTATTCAGCTGAGCTTGCTATGGCTCAGACTCGTTAATCATGATACTTTGTTAGGTTGATAGTAAAAAATGTTGCAAACACTAACTAGTAGTTTATAATCTTTACCATTTACAGAAACTTCAGGTAAGATTATTCTTAAAGAAAATAAAACCATGATTTGGGTTTTCTAGATTTTATTTTAGCTATCTCCATACTACTGAGCTATTTAATCTGCAGTATATTTCCAGTTACCGATGTTAAAAGGTTTATACCAATCGAATTTTTCAGTTTATACCTGATCAGCATTTGAATTTCACTATCAGTTAGAAAATCGACCCTAAACTATTTGGCATGTCCCAATTCCAGGCCACAAATTTCGTTTTTTATAAAACACTTCCAGTATATAACGGTGCATGTGCGATTCGAAATTGGTTTGTGTTGAATCTATAACAACGTAGGTTTATTGAAACCTACCTTGACGTTGTGGTCGGGTTTGCCTATCGTGATGACCCAACCGAGCTATATTGGCTGGAACATATGTTCCTGCAGATTCTACCATGCCAGGCAGGTCGATTGGAGAACGGTAAGACTGAAAGCAGCAACTCAAGGTCTGAGGGCAAAGTCGTACTGCTGATTGTACAGAGCTGTGACAGCAGTAAGGTGTTTCCCTCGGACAATCAGCATCTGCAGCGACCCTAAAAATGTAACACCTCACCTTACCCCACGGATTTCCGTCTCCGGCGGTAAGGCCCTTTGAAGAACGGAGCTAACACATTAAAAACATCCCACAAAAAGGCCGTGCGCGACCGGCCTCAAGAAGTTGTCCTTTGGGCTCTGCGGTCACGCACCCAGGTCTTCAAGACCAACACTAATCCGATTTCCTTTTCAGGTTCCTCAAGAAATACCATTCCACGGTGTGGGCAGCCGGGAAGTGACATCATCCCTGATACCCGTAACAGCACACGAGACCAAGTTGGTCACATTCAAATCCTTCCTACACCTCCTAATAACTCTCTTATCTCCACGACCAACCCTTCTCACGTCCCTTTATCACCTCGCCCCGCTAGTGCAAACGATTCGAGTATGCAGAACGTTATTCCTGGTCTCCTGAAACCACGCTCCAAACTACACGTAGGAGCTTTCAACGTCCGAACACTGTGCCAAATAGGACAACAGGCTTCCTTAGCTAAGACTTTAGAATCTCGCTCCATCGAAGTGTGCAGCGTCTCCGAAACGCGCATACAGGATCCAAGTAGTGTCATCCATTTGACCTCACCATGTCAAAGTAACGAACCAACTCGATTTACGCTTCGTGTATCTGGAAGCCCTGATGCTGCTTCCCGTGGCCTCGCTGGTGTAGGTATAGCATTGAGTCCTAGGGCAGAACTAGCTCTCTTAGACTGGATCCCAGTAGACAGTCGTTTGTGCGCTGTCCGACTAAACGGAACAGTAAGGACTCGAAAAGATAGGGACACTCGTCGTTGCCTCTTCGTCGTCTCTGCCTACTCTCCCACTGACTGCAGTTCAGATGATGTAGAAGATGAGTTTTACAGAAATCTTTCCGACTTTCTTCGAAAAGTTAAGCGTTCAGATGTAGTAATAATGGCTGGGGACTTTAATGCTCAAGTAGGTAAACTCAGTCAGTCAGTCAGCTGCAACGTAGGACCAGGCACGTATATGCATCGGTCCAAGTTGACATACCGCATTAGCACAACAAGTAGGTAAACTAGACAAAAGGGAAAGACACCTGGGTGGATCTTATGGTGTCGCGGCTCAAAGAACAGATAATGGCAACCGTCTGTTGCAGCTATGCTCAGATAACCGCCTGTTTCTTGCAAACACTAACTTTAAGCATAAGGAAAAACATCTTTTAACATGGCGACCCCCTAATTCGTCCCAACGCTGGACCCAAATAGATCACATCGCTATCAGCCACCGATGGAGGGGCTCGATAGTAGACTGTCGCTCATTCTGGAGCACATGCTTAGACTCAGGTCATGCTCTAGTGCGAGCGCGTATTTGTCTACGTCTTACTAGACATAGGAAAGATGGTGCAAGGAAACTCCATAGGGTCCTACTTAATGATACTCAAGCTAAGAGTATATTTCAGGAACAACTAGAAAAACGGTTAGGCAGCCATGTAAGTGATGCCCACCCCGAGGCAGCGTGGAATGACATCCAAAAAGCTGTAGAAACAGCAGTGATGTCCTCAAATACAGTAAACCACAAGGTTAGGGAGAAACACTGGATCTCAGCAGCATCTACCACACTGATAGATGCTCGAAAACTCATTCCATCTGGCTCTTAACATAACGAAGAACGAAGTCAACTTAAGCGCAAGCTGACAAGAAGCCTACGCAATGATCGTGAACAGCGGTGGGCAGCGAAAGCAAGAGATGGAAAAGGCAGTGGCAATAGACAACAGCAGACTTGTTAAGGAAACCGGTATCAGGAATCCAACTGTTAGCGAAACAATCTCAGAGAAAGATGGACATATTATTCATTTTCAATCCAGGAGATTGGACCAATGTGCAGAACACTTTAGGGATCAGTTCAACTGGCCTTCAGCCACACTTCGGTTTCCCACGATCTCCAGTCGACCTGAATGGCAAGTTAATGTAAGTCCTCCGACTCTTTACGAAGTTGAAAAAGCTATAAGAAATCTGAAGCGTGGGAGAGCAGCAGGCCCTGACGGGTTTACCCCTGAGATTTTTAAGGATGGCGGTCCAGTATTAGCAGCGATATTGACTGAGGTCTTAGGTAGAATCTGGGAACTGGACGTAATCCCATCTGACTGGTCTCAATCACTGATTGTGCCAGTTTATAAGAAAGGACAAAATTCTTATTGTGACAATCACAGAGGAACTAGTTTGACTAATATAGTGTCTAAAATATTAGCTTCAATATTACTTCGACGCCTAACTAAAGCTCGTGAAGAGCAGACTAGAGAAAACCAGGCTGGTTTTCGACCTGGACGTGGTTTTATAGACCAGATATTTACACTACGTTAGGTCCTAGAACATAGACACACATTCAAACGCCCCAAAATAGTAGTATTCTTCGACCTTAAGGCGGCATTTGACTCTTGATCGTGAGGTTATATGGCAGTGTTTGTCACTGAAAGGAGTATCAAAGAAGTGCGTTAACCTTATAAATGCTCTCTACTCGAACACAACTGGTCGAGTGAGAGCTTATGGCGAACTGTCATCAGAATTAGTTACTTCAAGTAGTGTTTGTCAGGGCTTCCCACTCTCTCCATTCTTGTTTAACTTTGTCGTTGACGTCCTTTTAGAGATAACATTTTCTCATCTAAATTTTCAGGGGTTGAACTTCTACCGGGAGATCCACTTTATGACTTAGAATATGCCGATGAAATAGTTCTATTTGGTGAAGACGCTGACAAAATGCAGAGTCTGATGACCGCTCTAAGCAACAATACAGGCATGTTCGGAATGCGATTTTCTCCGTCGAAATGCAAAATGTTGCTTCAGGATCGGGTTGCGACGACACCCGAACTAGTGATAGGGAGTGAAGTTGTTGAGCGTGTCGACCACTTCAATTATCTCGGAAGTCTCATCAGCCCTTGTGGTCTGGTGTGTGACGAAATCTCAGCACGGATACAGAAGGCTCGACTAACTTTTGCCAACTTGCGTCATTTGTGGCGTAGTCGAGATATCCACGTGGTTACTGATTGAGGTTTATTGAAGGTTAAATAGTTCTAATGCACAATTTTTCCGTATAACAAAAGCATTTAAGTTTCATACAAATAAGAGAAATAAATAGTGATAAAAGACTTTATTTTCAATTACCTTAATATAGTTAATAGCGTTAATTGTATATTCTCCGTAAAGAGTGATACTTTTTATAAATGAAGTTTGTTATTCACCAAAACAAGTCAATGTAGATGGATAAGACAAGAGTTTAATTCTAGTGATCCCCATACATCGACTGCATTTATCAAATTCAACAATAATAACAACCATCTCTTTGTAAAGTGTTCTCACCTTAATGACTTCCGGAGATAGGATAGATAAATCACGAAGATGTGTATACACTTTTAATCTGTTAATTAACAATTAACAGAGATCGAGCAGCACACATTTCAGTTATCGAGATAACAAAAAATGCTTATTAGATGTACATTTAGACCACACAAAGCTGTATTTCAATTTATTTTGTTTGTAAGGAATCAATTTCCATAAATATTAGATGCTAAATATTAGACGCTAAATAACAAACATTTACTCTATATGTGCATATTAATTACCAGCTTTCTTATGTATTTTGAGTTATCGATTTTTATGGTACAGAACAACTACATCGCGTGGTTTACTGAAAAAAAGTGGAACAAGTTATTCGTGAACAGATGCATTGTTAATTATTTAGAAAGTATGAGTACAAGTAAACTTAGTAACGGAAAGGATGATTACTACAATTAGTAAGACCTTTTTAAGGGATGTATAATAAGAACTAGAAGTTCAGGTGAAACAATGATGAGCACATAGTATATAAAAAATATATACATCTTGATATATATATATATATATCATATAATAATGCAGTTATTCAATATTAAATATGATAGAAATAGTTTCTTGGCTTCAATTTACTGCATAGGATAGAAGTTCTTCAAAGTTGAAATTCCCTACTAGACATCAATATTGTTAACCACTAGTTAGTGGTTTTAAGTTTCGCAACAAATGCTGAAAAATAAGTGTTCTAAAAAATTCTTATATGTTCTTAATTTCTAATATGTTCAATTAAGTTAATGACTTTAACGTAACCAAAGCTGTAATAACTTATAAAGCATCAAGTCGACTGTATGTCACGGGATGTTGAATGTACATACTTTAAGTTATTCTGAACTGTGAAAATATCAGAAAATTTTGTTCAGTCAAACAGTCAATCAATCCAGGTAGTGTCATTAAATTGTCTAATGACTATGATGAATTCTAAAATAATTCTAAATTCAGTGAAGGAAGAATGTAGGTGAACCAACGAAGGGCATTCAGAAGCATATATATTTATTATTATTGTTACTAATATTATATTATATATTATATGATACCGATAACAAACGTGTAAATTTAATTAGAATAAATAATAAATACTTTTGCTTTTTCAAACAACAATATCATTTTGAGTCTATTTGTTTACAGTAGACTAGAGTGAATACTGGATGGAGAGTTGTTCGTACAGTATTTAACAGCTCATACGAAGTTATAACCTGATCTATAACCCATATTATTACAAAGATATTAATAGTTTCGATAATAATGCCTTTATCAGCAAAAGCTATTCTATAGAATATACCATTATTCTCATTTACATGTGTTTACTTTCAATACCTTATTTGCCATATTCAAAATTTCAATGCTGACGTAGTATGATATTTGTATTTTTGTATAGCTTATTCAAAAGGAACTGTATATGATAAACTAACATTAATGAATAATTTAATAATAATAACAAGATGACTTACAACAAATGATTTTTCAGTCTCAGCTTCTTTTTCTCCGGTATTGTAAAGTGTAATAGATAAACCAATAGCAAATATTAGAAAGCAATAAAACATTGAAACGACACGTTGTAAATGATTTCTATTGTAATAAAGAGAGAAATATAGAACTACATATGAGTGTGTATGAGATTTATACACAACAGACATTAATTTGTTGAATAATATAAAGAAAATTCATACTAAAAATAGTAATCAGACCACTGGACTTACTAAATACTTCATATTATGATGGATAGTCAAGCCAAGATTAAGAATGTTTATTAAAATTGAGCGATGATTTATTGTATATATTGCAGTCAATAATATAAAATAATGCAGTTCAGTATTTTCATTCGGAATCATATTATAGTTTTGGAATTAATTTGATTATGACAAACATACCAACGATTAAGAGACTCCTCTAAGATGTGACAGGGAAATTTCGAAAGTACTAACAAAGCCGACGAATATCAACCCCTTAACAATAACCATTATCATTAGGCCATTCAAGATTGTTTAAACTTTATTAGTTGGGCTTAAAATAAAGTAAAGTAATCTAAGTTGGCTTTTAAAAGCTTTTAAAAGAAAGTTTTTTGTGTCAATATTTGTTTGATCAACCTATTCAAACTAATCAGTTCCGTATAAATGGAGATATTTCTTATTTGTAAAGTTCAACATTTAACCGGAAATATAATTTCTTATGAAGGTTTTCATCTCTTTAACAAGATATAGTTCTGATTTGTTATAACTTCGACGTTAATCGATATTCGGCAAGAAGATTCAGCAGTAACAGACATAGCCTACCTTTCTAAGCTTTGATCTATTGTACGCTTCGACTATCAAGGTTAAACTTGATACTTAGGCTCCTATTGATGTAGAACGCTTTCAATCGGATAATAAAACTCAGTAAGCAGTAGTGCAGTAGTAAATGTTGAGTGAATCGTGTAATAATACAAATTAAGTTTTTGATAGCACATTAACCTAAATGTGAAATTACAATGTAGAGACATTATTGGCCTTTATTATAGTTGTATTATATCGTTGAAGACGTCTCTAATGAGGAAAATAATGCTAAACAAAGCGAATAAATATTCAAAATATTCAAAAATTAAATTTTTCTTTAATGAAAAGTATTTTTTCGATCTACATTTATTAGGCTACAATCTGTAATTTCATTATTTATCAAACTTAAATTGTAAAACAGATCGAGCTCAAATGAAGCAGATGATACTAGGAGGATGATAAAGAATAGTTTCTGAAAAGAAAGTCATGTAAAATGATTTGAACATTTTTGTAATGCCAAATTCCCATTAAGTTACTTTTGTTTTCAACAGTAAAAATATTGGCGCTTGACTTCTAAATTATTATTCTTAAAATTACATATTTTATTTATTTATTTATTATGATTATTAGCTTTATTCAATACTATATTTTTGGTACAATATAGAACTCTCGGCACAAGTTTCTGTTTATTACTTCTTGGTCGATTCTGACATAAATATTGAGTAACCATTAATTAGAAGTTAGCAATCCAGTAAAACGACATTTAAATAATGTACATTCTTTTCGTTACATATTGCCAGGAACCACGATATCTCTGATTGGGCCTTTTGTAACTTGTAAAACGAAAGGTTGTACACTTTTTAGAAACGCACCTGAATAGGTTATGAGATTAATAGCCATAGTGATGTTTTAAAACAAACAAAATTAGATAAATTGTTGAAATATCGAGATAGCATGAGCAGGTAGCCTAGATGTTCAAGCAGGTCGCCCTTGGTGACCTGGTAGTTCTTAGATCTCTGAGTCTTACTTAGAAAGAAACTCTATGGTGTCCAATACAAAAGTTGTTTCCAAACTTCAGTCATAATTTTTGAATTAAAATACGGTCTTACTAATCAATCTAAATCTGAAGTGCTTGATTACTATGCTGTTATGTTTGAAAAGATATTTGTTTGATACCTATTTTTTTCATGGTATTGGAATATATCAGATTAGCTCTATTAGATTTCTTTAAAATAATTGTCTCTTAGCAAATAAGATTAAAACGCACTATACTTAATCACTCTTATTTAAGGAAGACGTATTCAGCCCTTATTTACATATTCACGGAAGATACAGTTATGCGAGATATTGCTGAGATAGTGACTGTCCTGTTAATTTTTCAGCAATGTTATTATTTAGCTCTTAGTGATCAGTCGTGTTTAAAACAATATTAACAAAAGGTAATAAGGTTATGTTATGTTAAGGATAGATTTTTGAAAATCAATTAGAAAGTAATCCACCTAAAAGCTGAGACTATAAATCCCCTAAACAACAGTATACTGGAAGAGCACCAAGACTATGATTAGGGACGTAAAGTGCATTTCTGTGTATTGCTTCACATGAATGTACACAGAAATCACATACGAATCTGAACTGATATGTATTAGTTATTCTAACAAACTGGTTGATGGGATTTTCGAAAATGATGATGTGGTTAAGAGTAACTTCAATTGATCCATGTCATAATGAAGTTGCCTGTCAGTACTCATCATTAATTTTATTGAATCGACCCACATAAAAAGATTGTAGTTCTATTCTAGTTGATTTGACTGATGCTATTCAATTCTATCAATGTATTCACTTAAAATAGATCATCTATGAATCAAACATATATGATATGGTAGCCATAATTCATAATTTACAGTCATCTTTTATTCATGATGATAATTTGTGTACTTTGCAAAAATTATATTTGGTGAAAACCTTTTTAAATTTAACGCTTGGTTTGTTTAATTTAGATGCAAATAACTAGTTTTGTTTTGCAGGTTCATTCAAAGTAAGGATAATTCGCTACTAGAATCACCAATGAAGCTTTAATTAACTTTTTTAAAATAGGAGATTTATGAAAGTGACAAAAATCTAAAAAGATCGGTTCATATCTTATCAATTTGTTACAATATTTAAATAAATCACCTCTGTAGAAAACAATGCTAAGTTTAAATTGCAAAATGCAAGTTAGGAAAATGATGTAAAGATTCCGGTTAGAATTATAGTGATTTGTTGTTTCATAGTAATCACTTCATGCTAATCAGGAATCGAAAAGGTCGATGTATTATATGTTTATATTAAATAAGAATATTCGGAGCATTTCTAGATAAGATCCTTAATAACAGGAATAATGATTCTTTTATCCACGGTTATGTGGATTCAATTTTAATAAATCTTCTGTGACTTCAGCGCAAATCAGACTATCACGACAAGCAACAAATCATGATTTATGCATCGTGAGGACGATTTACTTCATAGTTAGTTTTAAAGTGTTGTCGTAATGATATGAAGTCAAACTAAATTACTTCGTATTTCATGCGCGCTAGTCAGAAGTGAATATTATTGATACTAATGTCGTTATATCCAAGTAAACCAAGTTATCATTAACATAGTACCTAGTACATATGTATGTCGGGTTAAGTCGTCTGATCTACTTTAGTACATTTACAAGTTATTAAAAAGACAAAAGTCGAAAAAATGAAGACGATGCTTTTTACGTTAGTGAAAAATATAGCTTACCAAACATAATTTTAGAAGATTGAATAAAATCAGGGGAAAGAAAGTATTCATTAAGATTCAGTTAGTTATCTTGTGAACCTGAAGATAGTCATCTCTCAATTTGGCTCATTTCAATAGTCAGTGATTGTGAACTGATATCAATGTCACTATCTGGCTGCCCTAAACTTTTTCAACCATTGTTCTTACATATTAACATCTGAGGACTTTTAATAATTATATATATGAACTATAACATATTAAAATGTAGAAGGTTACATTTACTATGTATGTAACAATTACCACATTTATACCTATTACAACAATAAACAAATGACGAAGATTTCTCAGTTCATTAAATTTTATTGATAGGCTTATGAAGCTATTTAGATTCCGTGTTTTGGAGGAAATAAGTTTTTATTTAAAATAGACCACAATAAAAATGGCAGCTAGTATACTTAGCTTACGATGTAAATGTTTTGGCTATACAATTCTTCGACAAAAGTGTCTCTCAAAAATCAGATATCATCATTTGTATAAAATTAGAAAATAGCTAACCAAATATTATTAAATTATATGTCTCAGGATGATCTCAGTCTGTGTAATCAAGAGCAACGGAGCACTGATTCATCCTAGAGTAGGTATCCTCACCAATGTTCACTAACTAACCTTCTAGAAATTGACCATCTAGTTGGAATTCAGAGGTTCAGACTTTCAACTCCAGTCAATTGACGAGGAAGTACGACTATCATCAAATGTCATGACCATATTTTTAAACGTAGTGCATCTGAATTCCACGGGTTACTACTTCTTAATATAAATTTAAGAACTCGTCTTTAAGTGAGTTACTAGTGAACACAAGATAATTGTTATTTGAAGGTATTTATTGAAGATTAGTCCCAAATTGATATGTGGTATTATTCCCAGACTGATCTCAGAATAAATTAACTGTAATTTTACGGAAAACAGGATTTAAACTTACTGATGTTGATCTTGGGCAAAATTATTTACCACGAATGAAAATCTAGATAGTGATATTTTTCATTCCGATGTGTCAAAAATCATGCAAACCGAACGTCGACAACCTTTTCATAACTAGTTAGAAATATCATATGTTCAATTAACTGAGTATTACCACACGATGACAATTTTACTTTAAAGTAAACAACATTTATGTATGATCCTATCAAAGTGCAAATGAAAACATAAAACTGACAATAACATGATATACTGAGGTGATTCTACATAACCTTTTACACCATAAATTTGTGAATTGGTTTCTCTGAATAAAAAGGGGATAGATGAATCAGCAAAACAACTAATCTTCCTTCTCAATTTGAGTTTTGGAAGTGCACCTATTTTCATGATGAATTGGTAATTCAGTTTACGCTTTACTTACATCTGTTGAGTTATTTATTGAACTTAATTTTTTAAAGCATATAGTATCTTTATTGTCTTTATCCACAGCTATCCTATTTATTATCTAGCATAACATTTTGTCGCTCTTCAACTTAAAAATATGGCTGATATTTTTCCCGCTTAAGTTAAAGTAATTTAAATAAAAATTTTATATAA